TATATATATCTTTTTGATTTTTTCTTCTGAATGAAAATATATTCTTCTCAAATTAAATAAAAAATATTTATTTAATAGTTTTTATCCTTATCGTTAAAAGTGCTTTATTTATACGGTCATTAATTATTTTAAAACTATTAATACATGTAAATTGTTGAGAAATAATGGTGATTTTTAAGTGTTTAAAGAGTCTGTCGTGAAAATTTATTTATTGAAATATTTTGTGAATAAGTATACCTTTAAAGAACTTCGCATCTGCTGTTATGCATGGCGCTGTTTCCATAAAGCAATTGTAGTATTGATCTCGCAATTTATCATTTTGGAGGATATCCTTAACATCAATGTGGTCGTATCGATCGGAGTAGAGTTCTTCCGCCGAAACACACAACAGTACAATACTGATGATAGTCACAATGTAATTAAATTGAGCCATCGTTTCTTCAAGTTTCATACTAACTTGTGAGATTGAGCGATCATTTAAATATGCATCTTTTTATACATTTAACATGAGATAAAAAAGTATCACGTGTAAGATGACGAATGATAGTATATACCTGACAGTAATAAAAATCGCATGTGTCTGATTGCTATTAAAAAACCTATTAATTATTTTAATCAATTTATCCTTTATTGACATGCATTATATAAATGTTTTCTCTAACTCATTAAAGTTTCTAGAAATTTTTATGTATTAATAATTCTTATAAATGTATAATATTTCTTGGAATCAACTTTGCATTTATTTTAATATAAAATAATATGTTATAATGAGAGAGAGAGAGAGAGAGAGAGAGAGATTTTATTTATTGTAACAAATATGCTAAAATTAGAATTGAACTTTTTGACAATAGGATAATTTCTCTTCAAATTTTAAATTTATCGAATGAATTGCAGACTCTCTTAAAATGTTTTAAATTACTATCTTTTCTCTGAAATATGTCTCAACAATTTCAAATATTACAATATCTGAGTCAGGTAAAGAAGCAGGGATTAGGTACAGATATTTTATATACATATATTAAAAAATAAAATCTTTTATTTTATTTTATTTGCATGATTATTATTTTTCATGATTATTATTTAGAGCAAATAAAAATGTTTATAGAATTATTAGCTTTAAGAATATCCCGATTCTGAATTTATTGCTCATTGTTTAAAAAATCAATTTATATAGTGTGGCGGTTCGTATACAAGAGTAAAGTACATGAAAGCAATTAATTGCTAAATCAGTTTTGATCTTAAAATGTTTCTAGAATTATTTGGTTATGTATTGAATACAATTGGATATACTGGAACAAAAACGTAAATTATTTTTGACACAAGAAATCTTATGAACTTGATTATATTATATTCAATGTTACATTAGATCTGTTTTTTTTTTAGTAATTCTTGCATTATTTATCTTTCCTTTTTTCCCTCTATATTTTTGTCATTCTTTATTACTTTTTGTTACTTTAAAATTTATAATGGCTTATATTATGATTATTGAATAATTTTAAATATTCTGTAAATAGAACAAAATTGCATAGAAAATATACACATTATGTCAAAACAAATGTTTTAACATTATTTATTTATTAAAACTGCATTATATACAATAAAGAAATGTCTAAATGCAACTTCTAAAGAAAAATTGATCAAATTATTTAACAGATATCTTTTATTATCTCTTCTTTTTGCACATTTTTTTCTCTTACGCATTACAAAGAGAGCATTTTAAGAAGAATATACAAGATATGTTGCAATCATTTTCTAGAACATTTGCTAGATATATTTTTTTTGATACACGAATTGCGTGTTTTGCGTTTTACATTGCGTGTTTTGCGTTTTATATTGCGTTTTGCACGTTTCGCATTTCGCGATCGAGTCCTTCACTGCTTGAGCGGAATAGTTCTCTCTTCATATTCTGTATCTGTCTGTTTTATTTGCTGTCTGTTTTTTTTTTTGTTTTCTGAATTAATACACTAGTGCAATAAGTTGAAGTGAAACAAATATAAGTGAAACAAATATATATATTAAATAAAAATATAATTTGTTTCACTTTAACTAAATATATACCGATTCAGAGTGCAGCATAAAAAATAAACCTATGGAATATGAAGAGAGAACTATTCTGCTCAAGCAATGAAAGATTTGATCGCGAAATGCGAAACGTGCAAAATGTAACACGCAATGTAAAACGTAAAACACGCAATTCGTGCATCAAATAAAAGAAAATATATCTAGCAAATGTTCTAGAAAAAACAAACCTCATATTATACATACATATACTGTATGTTTCATTTTAATTGCCTCAAGTAAATTCTATCTCGCAAAATATGGAAGATATGAAAAAATATTTCAGACAAAAGTTGCATGATTTCATGCTCTATAAAGCTAGCAGGACCAAATCAGCAGAATCAAATCGGACCTATCGGAATTTTTAGTATTCATTTTGTACTAAATTGTACCATTAATGATATTTTTGTATCGTATGCGATTTCGAAAAAAATCATGACTTAAGGCAGCATCAATTGAAAATAAAAAAGAAAAAAAAATATTAGAAATCAATATGATTAAATTTGTACTATTTTGTACTGCCAAAAACAATTCTGTATTATGTGTCATTTTCAAGAAAACAGTGCTGTAGTTTAATATTTAATATTTAATATTTAATAGTTTAATATTTAAGCTAACAGGACCGTAAAGAAAATAACACAGAGCAAAAATTAACATGACTGAATTTGTACTAATTTGTATATATCATTGAAAATAAGTTAATTACATGTTTTCTCCTTAAATGACTTTATTAATATATATAATACTTACAATTTATGAGGCATTCCAATCAAATCACCTTTAAAATCATTTTATTTTTTTTTTAAATTTGCTAATATATCTCTTATTTTACAAATAAAAATATAAGACACGTTTCGCGAAAAAAATGTGAAATTTTTTTTATGAAATTATTGACGCTTGTAAGTTTCATAAACTTATAAAAAGCTCATGCTATGTTCGCTCATGCGAACATTTAAATTATTATATTATTGAAATCATTAGTTGTATAAAAAAAATGCAAAATTATCTGAAATTAAAATCAGACTTTTAACCTCTAAAGAAAATTTTGCATTTTTTTTTATTTTAATATTAGCAATCATTAGCTTCCTGGTATTCAATTAATTATTAACAAAGACGCACTAGCACTCCTTGGGAGTTTAAGAATATCAGATCAAAGTGTAGTACATAATTATTTGCATACATATGCTAATAGTATACATTTATAGACATATGAGAATAATTGTTGCATTGTTGTGATTATATAAAAACTATTATCATTTTTTATTTATTAAATAAGGATATTGCAAAAGTAATAGTATCGATAAAATTAATGATTATGATTATTTTCAAGAAGATAAAATCTCAATTGCTCTTTATTTTATTTCCAATATCTATAACATAATGCATGCACGCATGCACGCACGCACGCACGCACGCACGCACGCACGCACGCACGCACGCACGCACGCACGCACGCACG